TGTAAAATTTTACACTGCAAAATACATATTTGACTTTAATGTTACTGCAGTTGGAATTTATATATTTTTGACTATTGGTATGCAGTTTCTTTGTTGTAATATCATGGTCATGTCAGGGTAGGCATCAATGTAGTGTAGCTAAGAGCCTAGGACTTGCGAACAAGGAAGAACAAGTTGAGTGTAACGAATTTATCATTATGTATTTATTTGGAATATGAGCGTTGTTTGAATTGAATTTGTATTTAGAATATGCGTGACATGTAGTATCAGATATATATTGTATATAACGAATTTGTTATATACTTATTTTAATGTCAACGTTTGTTTCGAATAAGTTTATATTTGAGGGTGTGTCTAGCTTACTGTGTTAGTTACGTATGGCAAAACTCCCGCCAATTCTCCAAGATTGTAGAATATTCGTGAACACAAGAATAAACAATATATCCACTTCTGTAACCGGTATTATTTGAACGTTCGAGAAAATATTGCCCACTCGTATAAAAAGACCAAGCCGAAGAAGAAACAGAGAACAGAGAGGAAACAAGTCTACTATAAACCTGTTATAACCGTGTAAGCTATAAACTGTGATTTTGCTTACCCTTATCAACCGGAAAATATACGACATTTGGCCAGGAACAGGAAAGTTCGAACGCCAGTGAATTCTCATCAAATGTCAATATCTTTTCAAAACTATTACTGATTTCTCATCGAACATTAGTGGTTTTATGAATATATTATCTTACTTCAATGGTCCAACAATTCAGTGCCTGACAAAGCTAGCTAGTTTCCCGACAGTTGTACGTACAACTCTCTGGATATCAAGGAGACTCTGAACTAGGAAGACGATTTCAGGCTATCTGTAAGTTAGTGAAATTTCTGTTTATATATATATTAAAACGTATTTGGGTCAAAAACAAAAACGGCGTGAATCAATCTTGTTAGAAAAAGTGTAAATAAAATAAAATATCGGCATATTTCTAAATACTAAATCCAGGGTACAGTTCAACTATTATAAGTTAAATTATTTAACGCGGCTTTGGATTATTTCAAATTCTCAAAACGTAACATGAGCCAGATCATGTATTGATTATTACAGATCGAATTGACCGACCTCGTAACCATTTTGTATTTGTGCATTTTACAGTGTAACATTAAATTATAATATTGAAAGTCATGTAAGGATGATCTATGTATAGCTGTATCATCCCTATTTTCTTGTTTGCGTCCTTTTTGGCACTGCCCGCCATCCCTACATCATTTTACATTTATAAAATGTTTTTTAACTTTATATATATATATACACTAGCTGGAGTACCTGTCCCCTTGTCGGAAGCTATGTAAGTACATGATTAATGAAAGGTTACTTGAGGACATGAAAAGTTCCTTGCCTTATATGTATTTGTAAAAAACGCAAACACGCCCATAAATACTAAGTAGCAAAAAAGTGGAACCGAAAATCTGCATGTATCTCCGCTTGGACCCAACAAACCTTCGTGCCAAATTTGGTGAAGATTCATCAACAGGGGCGAAGTAGTGGTAAAAAACGCAGAAACGCCCATAAAAACCGCAAAATGCAAACTGAAAATTTGTACGTATCTCCCCATAGACCTAATGAACCTCCATATCAATTTTGATGAAGATCCATCCACACCCTATGAAGTAGTTACATGGATATACAACAGGCAGTACTAATATATTTATATAGATATATATATGTGTGTGATTGTGTACGAAAAATATTCGTTACAATATAACAGTTACTTATCTTTCAATGAATTTTATTTTTCGACAAAGAATGTTATTCGTTAATTAAACATCAATTGCTTGTTTATGACTTTACTAAAGTATGAAAATTTTATATTATGTAATTTACAAATACATTCACGCCCGCCTAGCAGAAAATGTAGCTTTGTAATCTGTGTTTGTAGTTTAAGTCCAAGCAAACTTTCCAAGTCCACTTGAAGCAATATTATGTTTTGATATCTGGCTCTGGTTTTGTTATAAACATAAGCTACAATTTGAAATAAACCAATAACATTAATATTTGAAAGAGAGTGCAGTTTATTACACCGCGATTAAACATTGTTGCTAGCGGAAATTTTGTGGTACTCTTCACGATATTCACATAATATTTAACATACTACACAAATCAGTATGTTTAACGATATTTTGGGCTTGTTACATTTATCGTTAATCAAGTGAAATTAATATAAACTTTTCAATTTCTTTCTCTTTCTCTGTATATGTTTATGAGAGGATATAAATTTTACTTCACAAAATAGTTTAAGTATAAAAATATGATATCTAGCAATTACCAGGCTGTTCGATTCATATATATATATATATAATTTCTTTTTTTTGTAAGAAATAATTTCATTATATCATAAACTTCAAAACAATGTTAATTTATACAATATAGTTTGCATTTTGAACACTAGACGGCAGAAGAACGAGTCATAAAAGATAGTGGAGCCCCGTAATAGGTTTTGTGTCGCCACAATGTTTAGACGGAAAGAATGGTTATAGCGATCGTCTAGAAAAATAACCCAACTAGTGCAGTTTGAATAAGGCAATGAGATCATATACAAAAAGTAGTTTAAAACAGTTTTTAATATTTATGTTTATAGAAATTATTGAAAATAATCGAAGGTTTTAGTGAACATATATATATTTTTAACGAAAAAGAAAAACTTTCATTTTGAAAAAAAATTATTTTCATAATCCTCTTAAATTATTTAAACCACAGGCTTACTTGAAACAAAACTATTTTTAGAATAAATTATAATTTACTAAATATTGTACTATACTTTGAACGTTTAAATAATATCTATCTAAAACTGTTTTATTATATTATAAAATTAAGGGAATTTTCACAAATCCGTTTAATTTCTCCATGAACTTAATCAAACCACCCGTCTTTTATATCTAAAGGTGTCACGAACTTATCTTTTCTTTTTTTAGCAGCTGTGATTCAAAATAAAGTAGATGAAAAACTGAAATAAATTTGAATCCAATTTATTCTCACACTTTGTTTATATATATATATAGTAGCCAAGTAAAAACATAAAACTTTACAATTGTGTACAGCTTTTATGTTTATTTAAACTTTCCTAATAATCACTGAAGTTTTACAATTAATTAAGACTTTCATAACAGTCAGTAACTATTACGAAAGTTTACATTTATCTAAAATTAGATATTATTCAGTAAATAAATAAATAAAGTTAGTTGGCGTAAAAAAGAACTTATTGACAAAATATAATAAAAACATGCTGCTATAAATAAGTATTTTTATATAAAACTTTCCAGAAGGTATTATCATTTATGGTACCTAAGAAAACAAACAAAAAAATACACCACTATCAAAAATAGTGTAAAGAATTTTTGTCTTTAATAATGACATCATGCGGAAATGTGAGGCGAGATAGATTTTTTTTTTTTTTAGGAACTGTTAGACTATAGAAACTAAAAGAATTTAAAGATGGGTGTTTTCATTGTTCATCATACTTATAAGCTCGTAGTTTTGGAGTTTACTCCTAAAAAAGGATTAGTATTTATTAACCTATTTACAGAGAAGAAACATTTGTCATGTAGTTTTTCTCTTCGCATAAACAAAATTTTCAAGTTTTGGTTTGTTTATGTAAACATTGAAAAGAAAAGAAGAAAAAGGTAGTAAATACAGAGAATCTCTTCCTTTTTCTTATCAAGAAAAATTCCAGAAGAATTTCAGCACAAACGTTTGCTAATTTATTTACCATACTTCAATCATAAGCTATAACGTTCGAGGTAGAGAGTGAAGTTTATTTTGATAGATTGTGCAAAGAAATGGTTGATATGAAGTATGTTTGCATCTGCTTTCCTGCGGGAGTAAACAGTTAAGAATTATGCTGGTAAAAATTTGGCTTGGTTCCCATATATACAAACAGTAATATATGGTGAATGAACCCTAAAAAATTTACCAATTATAAATAATTAAAATCATTATCCATCGTCGATATTAATCTGAATATTTCTCAAATGCTATTATAATCCAGTAAGATTATCAAGCCATTTACTTGAGACGCTGCATTTTTATCTACTATCATTTTGAATTATATATATTGGCTTAGAGCTCTCATTGCATCACTAAAATTGTTATATCAAGCCTGGTAACAACGAACAAGAATTTCAGCCACTGTTTAGACATGATTTTTCCCGTCACCATGAAGTACTGGCGGTAGAACAATATACTTATTTATTAAACAAACTATATTGTGTAGTAATGAGACACTAGGGAATGAGATTCAACTGTTTACTATACCTGTTCAGAGTGATGCTAATTAACACTATAGTGCGTTTTTATTCTAAGGTGAGAAGGGTTTGAGAGTTTAAAGTTTCTTATTTTTGGTAACATTCGTGTAGTTTCATTACTTTTGAAGAGTTTTCACAACACAGAACTAAACTACTGCAGAAATCTTCAGTTATGTCCAAATAAAGAAGAAGAAATTTTATTTATTCGAGATGAATGTAAATTGGCGTGGTCCATTTTGACAAGTTTGATACGTTCTTGATAGTAGTTTCGTTTACATTCACTTTTTGTTTGTGTGTTAGTTTAGTCAATAGCTGGTTAGAAGAAAGACTGTTTAACGACTTCATTGTTACAAACTTAAACTCAACATTACTCCTCATTTTAAAGGTTACATCGACATGTCGCCTTTTAAACAAGTTTTAAACTCACGAGCCTCTCGACATATATGGCATGCGAGAGTTGGAGATTGGGTTACCTTGCTAGGACCAGAATAACTAACATATTTCAAAGCCTTTGGTTATTTTAGGGGTAACGACTTAGTGGTCTTTACTAACTGTATGCTCCAAACACAGGGATTTCCTTGTTTATGACTGTCAAATTTCGCAGGTGATATCAGGTAAGATGGAGGCTTCACTTTCTATTTGATGTATAACTTAGATGATTTTTGTTACACTGGTTAAGGTTCTGCAAAACTAAATGTGTGTGTGTGTCTCTATGTAGATCTTTTAAATTTAAATAAAAAATGTGTCAAAAAATACATTACAGCTGCGCTAAATCAGTTCTACATTTTAAACTACAATACATCAGCATTCATCAGTCAGTGAGCTGAAATAAGCACGAAAGAATACACGCGAAACCATCACACAGTGTTCACGGTGTCGCACAAACAGCACTAAACCACAAATATTCGTTCCTAGTCTTGGCTTTCTTCACCGAGTTCTAATCTTACCAGCTTCTGTTTTTTCTCGCCAAATGAAAGAAGATGTAGATAATTTAAGGAAGGTCCAACAGTGCTGAGTGATGTCATGAAAGACAAAAAGAACATAGAAGTCGCCCCCTTCCACTTCTGTTTTAGTTACATTATCAACCGGCAGGAGATACCTGTTTCGAGCTGAGACCATATGGTTGACAGATTGTGAAGTTGTTTTCTTTCTGCCCATTTTGTTGTATTTTAAAACTTCCATAAAATTCCAACTAAGAAATCAAGTCATATGACACACTTATTTACATTAATTATCGAATAAAGCACAATTTCATAAAGAAATAATAATAATAGGTAGGCAAACAACGTTTTATAAGCATAAGGAAAAGTTTTATTGATGATGAAACATACCATGTTTCGACAGAACATTTGTTTGTCTTCTTTAGGATACCAATGTTCTGTCGAAACATGTAGTAAGTTCCACCATCAACTTTTCCTTATGCTTATAAATCGTTGTTTGCCTACCTATTATAATATTAGCATAAAGTGTTTCCTTTCTTAAACAATTATAATAACAAGAGTTCCTTAAAACGACGTATCTGCAATGATTATATACGAAATTTTATCAATGTAGTGAGAATTTAGAAAAATGTCAGTTGAGGAATGGAAATCTATTCGTACAATCCCTCATCTTATTCTCCGACCTATATATCTGTCTACATATATATATATCACCCTGTAGAGAAATTAAAACTAATGAAGCTTACAAGAAATATAGATCCATTAAAATATATAAATGAGACGAAAATTGTCCCACGCTTACACATGCTGGATGAAACATGTTGCCGAAAACATCATGTTGAGCCCCCCAGTGGCACAGCGGTATGTCTGCGGAGTTACAGCGCTAGAAACCGGGTTTCGATACCCGTGGTGGGCAGAGCACAGATAGCCCTTGTGTAGCTTTGTGCATAATTAATTAAAAACAAACAAACATCATGTTGAGTTAGATGTATTATATATAAAAATGATTTTTTTTTGGAATTAAGCACAAAGATACACAATTGGTTATCTATGCTCTGCCCACCACGGGTATCGAAACCAGGTGTCTAGCGTTGTAAGTCCGCAGACATACCGCTGTGGCATTGGGGGATATAATAAGGAATAAAGTGTTTCTCCCAAAGAGATCGGTATTGTCACTGAATAAAAGAAGATATGTTTATTATACTATACTAACTTCGAAGTTAATATCGGTAAGACAGATAGCTGTAGCTTTTTAAGAGAATTGCCTATCACCATTTTTCCATTTTTTAATTGAATGGATTAAAACTTCATGACTGAAAACTTTTGCTCTATGTAAAAAAAATTCTGCTGTTAATGAAATGGAATTAAACTGAATAATTGGCCAAATTTAATTTATTCATTATACATTATTTATTAATTTTTAAGTTTACTGTATATTACAATCTTAAATTCAAATATAATTTAAATACCTCTAAATTTCTAAATAACAACTGTAGAACAATTTTAGTTAAAATATAATAAAACTCCAGAATAAACAAAATTAAAAATTCATTAAAATTATGATGAACGAATCAATAACACCTCAGTTTAAAGTTTTTATAAAAAAGTTAGTCTTTGAAACTGTACTTCGAAATGACTGATAATTAAATACTTAATCGTTGAATCGATCATGAGTAATCTTAGATCTAACTTCTGAAATTGATCGTTATTGAGAAACGTCCATAGTGAAATTAATCATTTTTATAGATCAAAACCTTTAGCAATTCATGGAAAAGACTTCTAGAAGACATTCTGATGGCAGTGTTTGTTAAAAGCAGGCATCCATAATAGATTAATTACATATAGGATGAGGAAATATATGTGGGTGGATACCATCTTCGATTTTGATCTCGACCGTAATTTTTAAGGTCATAAAGTTCACATCGAAACGAAATGACTATTTTCACATATATTGACATTTTTGATGACGAGGAACCCACTTTGAGACTAATAATGGCTGGAGACGGCTTGAATGGGTAATGAAGAAAAACTTTAATATAAGTTTAACATAAAAGCAAAAGTTTTCTGCATTACCCATTCAAGCCGTCTCCAGCCATTATATATTGACATCTTCTTTACTAAACCTCTCAGTTTAACATAGAACTTCTTATAATATAGTTTCCGAAATTTGTAATATTTTAACTAGGATGTTATTTGCGTTTATTTATATTTAAACTTAGATTTCTGAAATTCTATACTATGTTGTTGTAGAAGTAAAATACTTTATTGTTGATGTTTAAATTTGGGGGCACGAGTTTCAGAAACTCATGATCTTCTTTGAAACAGTTAATCTTCAAAACAGGTGAGATTAATTAGGGTCAAATTTCCTTTGCCACCATATTTTTAAATTTAATTCGAGTAAATATCTTATATTTGAAATGAGCTTTTTTAATGCAGAAACATTCTGAAACACTTCCTGTTCAGAGAAGCAAAGAAACATTGGGCTATTTGCTGTGTTCACCGCGGGAAATCGAACCCTGGATTCTACCTTGTAAGTCCGTAGACTTACCGCTGTCCCACCGGGGACTCAGAATAACCAATTATCATTAAATTTCTATTCTTTTCTAGTGAGATTCTTGCTTCACACAAGAAAGACCTTGTAAAAAGATTGAAAAGAACAAAGTACTAATTAACATAAACCCAAACAAAGACTTTCAGTTGGTAGCACAAATTCGGTCACGAAACAGATAAATCAGTTTAGTGTTGTTTAAATTTAGCAACAATACAACACGAGCCTTTGTTCGAATCTTGTAGGACAACCCATTCTTTCTCTTAATTGTAGTTAGTTTCTGATTGGGTAAATAAAAGCAAAAAAATAAAAAACATAAGAGTTTCAGGGAAGTAAAGAAAATCCCTTGAAGACAAGTCCGAAATGAACGCTTAAGACAGAAGTTGGCTGTACTGGTTAATGATCTGACAGAATAGAAACCATTATACAAATCAAGAGTGTATTTGATTACGTCACACAGACGAGCCACTGACATCACTCTTCTCAGGTTACGTAACAAAGCTGTTCATACAATGGTTAGTTATTTTAATCACGATTATGTATACTTTTATGAAGTACTTAGAACAACATGCTTATACGTTTGTAAAAGTACCATATTCAACTATTCTCCAAATCACATTTATGTAAATATTTATAATTAATAGGTTTATTAGGTGACAAAATTATAGACTTATATATATTTTAAACTCTTCATTATTCTTCATACATATTATTTCCTCTTAAATTCCATAAATTTTGAATGCGCCATTAAACTTTCTAAAAAAAATATTTTATTGATTTTTAAGCCTTTTAGGCCTTATAATAGTGAGCTTTTAGAAGTAAAAGCTTTTTGTATTTCAAAATTGTTACTTGGCCATCACCCACTTGAGACATGGCATGATTATTTATACTCTTGTAGCTTTCAACACTCACTGTCATATAGTATCAGTGTAAATAAATATTGTTACTGTAAAGATGAATTATATTTATTAAAACACAAGCGTATATATCAGAGGATGAAGCAACTACAGTAATCGACCAAAAATGCAAATAATAATAAGTTCTTACATTTTCTATCACACGTTAAAGTCTTTAGATAAATTATACAAAAGATCAGCTACACATTTTTGGAAACGATGATCAAGTTTGACATACTAGTACTTCAGATAGTCTTTTCCTCGGCGATCACGCTCTATCTCCTTCCTCTGCTTCTTAACAATGGTCTTGTAACAATGTTTTTTTTAAATCTTTTTAGGAGAATAGTTATGTCAGTGTTATCCCATTCCTTTCGTTTATCTACCAATCAAGTTATGAAGATGTTTTATAAGCCTGATTAATGCTGTTGACTTTCATATGCAGGATAAATATTTTATTTTTTAATTCTAGAACGACACCTACATTTACAAGGAAACGCCTGCTCATTTATATGCATTCATATAACGTGTAAACGATTCTGTGTATTATAACCGATAATATTTTTCTCATTCAATCCTTTATAGATTAATAAGCATAAATCATTGTGTGACTGAAAGTTGGAACACCAAAGTAAAAAGATTGTGTATAAGCAAAACATTAACGCAAAAACAAACAAGGTTTAAATTCATAAAGGTAAAGACAACGTTTAGAAAGCAGGTGTTCTCTGGGTTGTTGGTAGTTTATAAATTTCTGTTTTTTTTATAGAAATTCTATTGATGAATAGCTTACCATTAAGTTAGATTGGTATCTTGTTTCTATATTACACGTATTAATTAATTACTTAGATTTTAAAATCACGTTTGTTACACTAGCCTGCTATAAATAGGAATTATTTGTTTGTGCTTTGAACTTCTTGTAAAGATAAGCGAGGGCTAAGTGCGCCAATCGTCCCTAATTTTGAAACTGCTTACTTACTCTTGGGCTACTCTTTACCAACGAATAGTGAGAGTGAACTTCACATTGTAACACCCTCACGGCTGAAAAGGCGAGCATGTTCGGTGACGGGATTCGAACCCGCGACCTTCAGATTGCGAATCGATTGGCCTAATTTCCCCATCTCTATTGATAACGAAAGAGAAGAAAACTAAATAATTATTCTTCGTCGAATTTGTTGAATGTGCTAAAATATTTAACACCCCTCCCCTTCTCTGCCAATTTCCTGTTACATTAA